CCCTCTCTCTCTCTCTCTCTCTGTCTCTCGTGCACATAGATGTCTTGGTGCCATGAGGTTTTGGCCATTTTGGAAGACTTAGTTCAGGATAATAACAATGGCAGACAGGATTAACCTGGAGGAAAATTCTGGTGGAAACAGTGATACTTGTGGGAAATCACCGCTGTATACACTGTGGCTTTCACTTCTGTAAACAGGTTGAAGATTTAGTTGGCAAATTTGGGTATTGATGGAGCAAGGTTATTATGAGAGGGGAAGTGAATCTCAGAAGAACTGACTGGTTATGAGTAGATCTTTTTCTCTGAGACATTAGAAAAAAAAATTAAGATGGATGTGTTATTCATTCCTGGTATTTCTCTTTTTTTTCTGGAAAAAGAAAACAGTGTGACTGTTGAAAGTCAACAGGAGGCTTGTAGGGAACAGTGAAGGTTTGATAATGGCCATTGTGGAGCATGGGAGAGAACATTTAGCAAAGGCTGAGGATGATGATGGTTCATTTGTCATTGTACTCAGGTTGCTTTCAGCTTTTCTGTGTCTGCAGTCAAGAAATAGGACAGGAAACAACTGTTGATATTAAGGCAGAGGAGAGACTCTGAAGCTGATTTCAGTGATGAGACAGAGGTATTTTAAGAATGGAATGTTGGTCTGTAGAGTCTAGATTGAATGGAGAAGAAAATGAGGGAAGAATGGGTTGAGGATATGAGGTGAAAGGAAACAGCTGGGGATTGGGAGTCCACAGCTTGGAGAAAAAGTAGAGTGTGGAGTTAGGCTTTATGAGATAGAGAAGCCAATATAGTAGAGATAAGACAATAACAGAATTGGGAAGGGAGTGAGCTATGGTTACAAACTGGACGTTAGAAAGTTCTAGGTAAATAAAAAGGTATTGGTTTGTTTGGTGAAGATAAGGATGGCTAAATTTGTAAATATCAAGAAACCTTTGTTTATTCATCTGTCCCACTCCAGCTGAGAACTTGAGCCCTCAATGATGTAGGCAAAAAGTGGAAAAGGTAAGATGACTGTGTGCCAGATTTCAAATGTTAGATGATATTAAAAGCAAAAAAGAAAAGAGAAGAGGAGAGTAGTTATGGAGATGGTAGAACTCTGCTAACCCCAAAAAGTAATATAGAATTATTCTAGGAAGAAACCACAGAGTACAGAAAACAGACTGAGCCTTGTAAGGCTTCTTCCATAAGGAAAGCACAGGGGTTAAATTTAGACCTGAGTAACAATTCTAGGGTTAACAGTAGAAATCTGTTAATTTGGGTTACTTATTAATAAAATTCCAATAAATTTGTAGGTTTCATCCCCCAGACTTCTAGCTTGACCCACAGCCTCATATAGTCACTTCTGGGGTCCTGAGACTGAATTCTCTCAGGGCAAGGTACGTTTTGCTCAGTGAACCCAAACCATTAATAAATAGTGAGTACCTCTTTTGAAATGTTCTACGTTCTCAGTGCTGAGTGCTAAAGGAAGCCTCTCTGGTTTTGGTTCTCCTACTAGTTTCACATGACTGGATTTGAATCCCAGAAAATTACTAACTATTGAAAACCTCCGTTGCTTTACCTACAAAATAGGTATAATAACAGTATTGAACTCACAGGCAATGGTGAAGATTGAACGTGATGATATATGTAAGTAAAGGTAAAGAACATAGAACAGAGACACATCACTCAATAAACATCTGCCATTTTCTGTGGTTATTGTTGAACAAGATTTCCTTGAGTATTTTCTTTACCTAATTATTAAATTTTATTAGATATGAATTGGCAGAGAACTTGTGTTATGATATGTAATGAAATGTCATAAAAGTACTTACAATCTTTGAGAGAAGTGCTATAATACAAAATCGTAACTGAATTAATATGGTGCAACAAGCCTGGGACCCTTAGGAATTCATTATAGGAATACCTCACTTCAGGGTATTTGGTGTAGTAGTATTGAACCTGGCAGTGGAATATCTGTTTTCAGCTGCTGACTCTATTCCTTCCTATATATTTATCTTTTAGTAAATCATTTCCTGAAGTCTCAGTGACCTCATCTTCAAAATGACAGTAATAACAGTACCTCCTCCTCAGGCTGTTATGAGGCTTAAATGACATAAAAATAATCCAGCACAGAACTGAATCCAGGATGAGACTTGACAACACCTACTCTGCTACATCTGCCCAAATTCCAGTAGACTTGATTATTTGATTTTCCAGTTCACAGGTTATTTGAAACAGAAAATTAAAGTGAGGGAGGCTAACAGAAGACGTTTAACTGATTTTAATGAAAAGTGACAGGTGGTAAACTGATGTGGCACAAACAATAGAAGAAAGATTATAAACAGATATAAGATATTTTAAAAATACAAAGAAATCTGGGGTATTTAATTCAGCAACAAACAACCATAGAAAACTCAAAAGAGTTTTTCACATCAAAAGATGTGAAAAATCAAAATTTCTAACAGTACAATAAACAATGTTTTTAACGGAGATCTTGAGCTACGGGATTTAGAGCTACTTGAGAACAGGCTGCATCTTACATTTAAGGAGAGGGAGGGAGGGCATAGGGTGAGGAAACAGCCTGTGCTCACATCTTCCCACACAGGATCTTAGTTGTTCTTACAAAATTCATGGGACGTAAATATTTTTATTCTACTTCAAAGAGTAGAAAATGAAGGGCAGAAAAATTAAGTAACATCCCAAGCTCACACATCCAAGAAAGCAGTCTATTTTTTTGTAAAAGATTTTCAGGAGAGTATGATTAGAATCTAAACATGTACGTGGGACCACTTATTTTTCTAGCTATTACAGAAAAAAGAGGATAAAATATGGGCCAATTTAGAGGTCAAAAATTTGTAGACTCCATGAACTTAAATTGTTAGCTCATGCAGAGGAGGGAAAAGAACAAAATTATATTGGTTACTTAAGCATATTTTCTGAGGTTCTTTGGATTTTAGAAAGCAATTTTGTATCACATAAACATTTAATAGTATTGGGACCATCAAAGAAGTAATAAAATATAGATTATTGTATTTGTCCATTTTCACACTGCATACCCATGTCTGGGTAATTTATAAATAAAATAGGTTTACTTGACTCACAGTTCCACATGGCTGGGGAGGCCTCACAATCATGGTGGAAGACAAAGGAGGAGCCAAGGGACATTTTTTTATGACAGCCAGCAAAGAGAAAGAATGAGAGCCAAGCAAAAAGTGTTTCCCCTTATAAAACCATTGGCTCTAATGAGACTTACTACCAGAAGAACAGTATGGGGGAAACCACTCCCATGATTCAATTATCTCCCACCAGATTCCTCCCACTACATGTGGTAATTATGAGAGCTATAACTCAAGATGAGATTTGTGTGGGGAACAGGGCTGACCCATATCATTCTGTCACTGGTCTCTCCAAATCTCATGTCCTCACATATTGAAACTAGTTTTGTCTTCCAAACAGTCCCTCAAATCTTAACTCATTTCAGCATTAATTCAAAAATCCACAATCCAAAGTCTCATCTGAGACAAGGCAAGTCCCTTCCACCTATGAGACTGTAAAATCAAAAGCAAGTTAGTTACTTGCTAGATAAAATGGGGTTATAGGCATTGGGTAAATACAGCCATTTCAAATGGGAGAAATTGGCCCCAATGCAGGGGCCACAGGCCCCATACAAGTCTGAAATCCATGGGTCAGTCAAATCTTACAGCTTCAAAATGATCTCCTTTGACTCCATGTCTCACATCCATGTCACACTGATGCAAGAGGGTGGTTCCCATGGTCTTGGGTAGCATGATCCCTGTGGTTTTTCAGGGTACAGGCTCCTTTTTGGCTGCTTTCACAGGCTGGCGTTGAGTGTCTGTGGTTTTTCCAGATGCACAGTGCAAGCTGTTGGTGGATCTACCATTCTGGGGTCTGAAGGATGGTGGCTGTCTTCTCAAGCTTCACTAGGTGGTCCCCCAGTAGGGACTCTGTGTGGGGTCAGAGACCCCACATTTTCCTTCTGAACTGCCCTAGCAGAGGTTCTCCATGAAAGTCCCACCCCAGCAGCAAACTTCTGACTGGACATCCAGTTGTCTCCATACATCCACTGAAATCTAGGCAAACCTCAGTTCTTGACTTCTGTGCATCTGCAGGTTCAATATCGCTTGGAACCTGCCAAGACTTGGGGCTGGCACCCTTTGAAGCCACAGCCCAAGCTGTATCTTAGCGCCTTTTAGCCATGGCTAAAATCAAAATTTTAGCTAGGGGGCAGGATACCAAGTCCCTAGCTTGCACACAGTAGTAGGGGACCTGGTCCTGGCCCAAAAAGTCAATTTCTCCTCCTAGGCCTCATTGCCTGTGAAGTGAGGGGATGCCGCAAAGGTCTCTGACATGCCCTGGAGACATTTTCCCCATTGTCTTGGTGATTAACATTTGGTTCCCTATTACTTATGTAAATTTCTGCAGCCTGCTTGAATTTCTCCTCAGAAAATGAGGTTTTCTTTTCTACTGCATCATCAGTCTGCAAATTTTCTGAACTTGCATGCTGTTTCCTTTTTAAAACTGAATGCTTTTTACAGCACCCAACTAACATCTCTAATGCTATGCTGGTTAGAAATTTTTTCCACCAGATCACCTAAATCATTTCCCTCAAGTGCAAAGTTCCACAAATTTCTACAGCAGAAGCAAAATGCCACCAGTCTCTTTGCTAAAACATAGTAAGAGTCCAGTTCCCAACGAGTTTCTTATCTCCATCTGAGACTACCTCAGTCTGGATTTCATTGCCTATGGTATTATCAGTATTTTGGTCAAAGCCATTCAGCAAGGCTCTAGGAAGTTCCAAACTTTCCTACATTTTTATGTCTTCTTTTGAGCCCTCTAAATTGTTCCAACTTCTGCCTGTTATCCAGTTCCAAAGTTGCTTCCACATTTTCGAGTATCTCTATAGCAATGCTCCACCCTACTGGTACCAATTTAGTGTATTAGTCCATGTTCATGCTGCATAACCGAGACTGGGTAATTTATAAAGAAAATAGGTTTAATTGACTCACAGTTCCAAATAGCTGGCTGGGGAGGCCTCACAATCATGACGGAAGACAAAGGAAGAGCAAAGTGACATATTTCACAGTAGCCTGCAAAGAGAGAATGAAAGCCAGGTGAAAGGGGTTTCCCCTTATAAAACCATCAGATCTTATGAGACTTATTCACTACTATGAGAACAGTATGGGGGGAACCACCCCCATTTCAATTATCTCCCACCAGATCCCTCCCACAACATGTAGGAACTATGGAAGCTACAATTCAAGATGAGATTTGGGTGGGGACGCAGAGCCAAGCCATATCAACTATTACGTTTTTAAAAAAATCTGCCATAAATCTTGTTTTGGCTGAGTGGTGTCTCCCCAAAGTTCATATATTGAAGTCCCAATCCCCAGTACCTCAGTGTGACTTTACTGGAAGAGAAGGTCTTTAAAGAGAAGGTTAAGTTAAAATGAGGATACAATAAACCTACGTCCTTGTAAGAAAGGAAGAGACACAAAGTTTGCATGCACACACAGAGGAGACCATCTACAAACAAAGGAGACAAGTCTCAGGAGAAACCGTACCTGCTAACATCTTGATCTTGGATTTTCTCCATCCAGAACTGTGAGAAAATAAGTTTCTGTTAAGGTTCGTCATATGTGATATTTTGTTATGGCAACCACAGTAGAGGAACATAAACCCTATTTGGGTGAGTATAGTATGCATAGACAAACAATTCTGTTATAATCACTGGGAAAGTCTATAAACTGCAGCTTTACAAATAATCAATATTAAAATAATGAGTGTAAATTTTCCTCATGTAACACTATTACAGGAAAATATCAATGCCTAACATCATCGAACATTGGGGAATTACATTTCCTTTACTGATTTACGATCTTCAAGGCTAACACTAGAATAGCATGTATCAAATTTATTAATTTTCAATATTTATGTGGTGAGGTTTTGACTTTTAAGTAGGATTATTATTCACCCATACCATATCATCTAATATGGCTTGTGATTTTTTTGCCTTGAAATATTTTCCAAATAGATGTTTGCTTCAATTCGGGTTATAAACATTCTAATCTTGGCCTCTTTCCTCTTATACCTGGACTTCAAATGTCTCCTGTATAATCTCCCTCTCTCTAGTTTATAATGCTCTAATATGCTCTTTATACTGTTCTCAACTAATTGACTTTTTAGTCAAGTTAATCTCTCGTTCTAAACTGAACAATAGCTTTTTATTAACATCAAATATAACTTTCTCTATCTGATTCTTAAGGCGTTCCCATAATCTGACTCCTACCTTCTAATGGTTGTCCACACAACTACTTAATCATATTGTCCACTGATCTTTAATTATCACCCGACTTTCCAGTGTCTCAAACACATCCTCTTATCATTCTTTGAAAAAATCATTTTTGCTGTTTTGTCTTCATATCATTGCTTAATCAGTTTACTACCCAACACAGGTCACATACTGTTAAGATCATTCCACCTTTCAAAAATTAACTACTTAAAACCATATTAATTTTAATCCTCTCAGGACAATTAACTTCTTGAATATATCACAAATTGGAATTTTGTATCCCTAACCAAGCAAGTACTATTAAGTCCTACTCCTGTCACCTAATAATTCAGAGTATGACGTTATTCAGAGGGAACACAATGGATGCTTGCCAATTGGTGTATTTACTATTGTAAACACTTCCAAATATTGCATTTTTCCATTATTTAAAAATTTATCAATTTATTTGCACCATCTATGCACATTGGTTAATGCTTACTGTTTGTCTGGTATTGAGCTACCGGAGACTAGATATTGGTCATAGAAACATGAAAGATGTGTAGCCATTACTCAAAAAATGCTGATAACATATGAGTACAGACAGATGCAAACAGAAAGATGCTGTGTCATGAGTGAATCCACAGAGGCAGGTACAGTGCTGCTACAAAGTGATCAACTCTGCTTTCTAGATGAGAGAAGGGAGCACAGAAAGGGAGATTCTTGAGCTCAGCCTTTAGGGTTGGGCAGGTATTCATCTAGCTGATAAGGAAAAGGAAATCTCCAAGTGAAAAACAGTAATTCCTTGACAAATAACACACACAGGCAAGGTATTTGAATGATGCTTGTCTAAGTTCAATACTCATTGACTTTCTTAATAGAGAAAAGAGATTTAAAGCGTCTATAAAGCCAGGAAAATAAAATTAAATTTTTGACAAAATTGAGAGTAGGAGAACAAGTGAGAAATCAAGTTGGAAAAAGAAATAAAAACTAACATGACAAACAGAGGGAAAAATACAGCTATTATATTTGATCATAATATTTAGCCTTGAGTTTCTCAAAAGACATAGGGAAGAAAGAAATGTAAAGAGTTTCTCCAACCTTGTAGAATAATGGGAGGAAAATTATGTTCTCAGTGAACACAAATTTATCTTTGTCCTAAACTCAAAGAAAATACCTCTCACAGGGAATTAGATCTGGGAGATACAATGGAGAATGTTCTCACAGATATTTTACAGCTAACAAAAGCGAATGCATATAAATATTTCTTACATTTTTACATATCTATGTACGTTTTTATCCACAAAGAAAACACACTGAGTTTTTGTAGAATAAATGCATGTAAGTCCTTCATTTAGAAAGATCAGGAATATAAAAGCTTTTATGAATACATATATTAGTGAGAAAAGTTGTTTTCAGCTAGATATTAATACTAAGAATTCTCCTGCAAATTATTCTCAAACACCTGATGCCTCTCCTTCTCCCAGGCCCCCCACAAAAGACAAGAAATTTCCTGATGCAAATAAACTGAATAGTTTTACTTTCTGGTTAGAAACATTAAGACTCCTCCTCTCCTTTCTGTTTTCTAAATAATTTAGTTGTTCAGATGTTCATGAATAAATCATACATTATAGTTTATGATATCCATAGAGTGATTCAGCAGTAGGTCTTCTAAGATATTTATAAATGTGCATTTATCAAGAGAGCCATTTTATATGAATTATTTCTACTATAGAAATTTTTCAAAATAAAATTATTTCGTGTATTTATTTTTCTCTGAAATATAAACAGGATACTATGCTTTTTTGTTTGTTAATGTTTATTTTCATACGTTTATCTTTGCTTTCTTAGTAAGCTCACAACATTTATTATGTACAAATTATATTTTATGTAAGGAAACCAGAGTGTAAGAGCCAGTCTAATTTGGCCAGTGTCCTGGCTAACATGCAGGAACTCTGCATGTCATTCCCTCATTTTTTAAAAAAAGTAACAGATTGTCTTTATTGGCCTTCCTAAGTGCCACTATCTCAGTCTTTTAATCAAGAACAAAAATTGGTACAAAATTTGGACTTCTTTTACCATGTTCTGAGATGTAAAATGAAAAGTATTACAACTCTATTGCATTTCGTTGTTTCTATCACTTGCTTAGTGATTTCCAAGCAAGAAAATATCAAATTATTTCTTCTAGATATTATTATAGTCTACTTGTGATGGCAATTTTCTTTGTTGTTTTTGCTTAGCTTCTTTAATCATGAAATATACCGTACTTGAGAAATAATAAGAAACCGCGCATGAGGATGCTGGTAATGAAAAGCTTGCTTGGTGTCCTGGTGTGCAGGTCAGATATCAGCCAGCAGATCATGGAAACCAGAGAGAATAAATTTCTTTAAATGATGAACGAAAAGCTTTACTTGTGTGAGACATAGACCTTTCTAGGGCACATGATTACTATGTACTTTTTAAAATAAAATTTCCATGATTATATACAGAGACAAAGCTAAAGTTTTGACTTGCAAATGATGAAAAAGAAACCTGTTTATTAACTACACACACTTACTGTGATCTTTACAAAACTAAGCTCACAGAATAATAGGCTTTTAATATTAACTAAAATTATCTTATTTTAATTAGTCATGATTTTTTTACAACTCCAGACTAGGAATCAGTAACCATTTTCTAGGTTACCCATTAGACCAACAATTAAATATTTCTGGCT